TACATTTATAACGGTTTAATTCTCTCCATTGTTTCCTCGTTATATAAACATACAGAGCACCGTTCACCCTTAGCAGACCAAATCCTGTTTCCTGGTTAACACCCTCCACCAATCCTGTTTTCTTTTTTCTTGTGTTTTCCACTCAAACTCTCTTCAATGGCTGAATCCCAAAAGTCACTTGTGATTAAGCTTGGTGCAAAGCGTTCAAGAACGGTTCAAGAAGACTGCCCACAGACGGAGATCATCGCTGATCATCGTTCCAAGAAAATGAGAAAAGATGCTTTTGAAATTTCTCCGCCACTGAGAATGAACAGAACGACGGCTGAACATGAACACCGACCAACAAAGTGCAGAGTGCAAAGTGCAAGAGAAGGAAGGTGCTTCGGACCGGAAAACTCCAAAAGAATGTCAAGAGCAGCTTCCCAAATTTGTGAGTTGAAGAAGGAAGGTGCAGAGTGCAAGAAAGAGAAGAAACAAAGCATAGACAGATACAAAAAAATGCAATGTTGGGTGATCATGAAAAGGTTGAAGGAAGGAAGAGATGCTTGGGCTTTCAAAGAAGCTCTTGATGTTAAGGTCTTGGAGTTTCTTGATAACCCTGACTCTGTATCAAAGCCAATAGGTTTGAAGGATATTGAGGTCAAATTGAACCACTATCTGTATTCCAAACCTAAGGAATTTGCAGATGATATGAGGCTTGCATTTTCTTATGCATTGCTATACCCTTGGAGGAGTGAGATTCACATGATTGCAAGGAGGGTTAGTGAGAAATTTGAGACCGATTGGAAATCTTTAAAGAAAAAGTGGATTCTTGAGGAAAGAAAAAGAAAGAAAAGTATGTGCAAATCTTGATAGAGAAGCTCAAGGTTGCTGGATTCTGTTTAGAGTGTAGTGTTTGTACAAACTTGATTCTTGAATTACTAGGTTATTGATTTTGTTTCCTTTTGAGTTTTATTAAAACGTAGATCCTGTTTTTTCTGTTTTTTCGTTAATAAGCAATCCTGTTTTGTAACGTTTGGCTGAAGCTTGTTAAGTTTAGTTTTATGTGTCTGTTATTTGATCCTATAAACTATTGGTGTTTCATTTGTACTTTATTTATCAGTAAAGTACATCTTATGTTCAGTTTTTAGGTTGTTCGAGTCAATTTTATTGTGGATGCAGAAATTCTAGCCAAATTAAACCATGGCATATAAAGTAGTGGTTTATATCAGATTTTCTGCAGACTTTATCATATTGTGAATGCAATAGTTCATCATTACGTGCCTGCGTTGTTGCAGAATCCAAGCTATATGTATTCAGTGGTTGGCAATGCTAAGTACGGTTAAGCAATTTATTTGATGTCCTTCAGTGGTGGCTGCATATTGGTTATGATCAGTAATGTATCATAAATTTCATATCTTCCAGTTCAATAAAATCTTGAATTTCTGAATCCTGTGATTTTGGATGCAGAAATTCCTTCCAAAATAGCCAAATTAAACCATGGCATATAAAGTAGTGGTTTATATCAGATTTTCTGCAGACTTTATCATATTGTGAATGCAATAGTTCATCATTACGTGCCTGCGTTGTTGCAGAATCCAAGCTATATGTATTCAGTGGTTGGCAATGCTAAGTACGGTTAAGCAATTTATTTGATGTCCTTCAGTGGTGGCTGGCATAATTAAGCAATTACAAAAAATCTATTCAAATAACAAAGAAAGATTATATATATATATATATATATATATATATATTACATACATATGTATGAATACAGTGCCTCATCTATTTTCTCTCCTCATCTCCTAAACAGAAAGGCACACCATAATTAAAAAAACTTTTCATGGTATGATTAAATCATAGCATTCTTTCATCTAATGTTCACTGTAACACCTTAGTGGCCTTCACATGAGTCTGCATAGCTTTTCTTTAGGAATCCCAATCTCCTTGGGTAGCTTCTCTAGCTCACCGTGTGCATCAATTACATAGACAAATCAAATGTATCTACAAGAAGCATTACTATTCATTGCCTTGAATACACACGCATGAGCTTCAGCCAATTTTGTTACATCAACTATTGCTAGCAAACCATGAGAATACATTTCTTGGGCTCCTGCATTAGCACAGGGCAAATTTTTATTGAGGTAGCCTAATAGCTGAATGCGCAAAACTTCACCTTAGAAAAAACAAAAAACAAAATGGACAGATGATATATTACAGACAACAACATAGAGGCAGTGAGCTCATGTAAATATGCACATTGAACCATGTGAATATTAACTTCCTCCAATCGCAGAAAAAAGAATTATTACTAATTTACTGTGATGACTAATGCCAGGGCAACCCAAAGTATATCTTAATGAGCCTCATTGACAAAAATATCTACATACAAAAGAGTTGCAGCATGCAACTTAACACATCACTCATTTACAAGAAGAAAACAGGATATAAAATAAGGAAAAGGGCTTTTAATCTCTCCATAACTTAATATCAACAAAGAGAGTGAGACATATCTTCTCTCTTCACTTAATCATCTCACAATTACATTGCTTTTATCACCGGAAAAAAATAACTATTATCAGGTGGAGAACCTTAGTTTACTATTATCTTTTCCCTTGCCAAATCAAATACCAGTTTTAATAATTCTATTTGATGCATGATTGCATAAACAGTTAGTTGGCTGAAGCACATAAATACCATCAGAAACGTTACTTTAAAAGACTTGCATAAATATGTGCTGAATAAGAAGCACAAAGAAGCTTCTGTGAATACTTGAACAAACGTTAGCCTCTGCCAACTTCAAAGGTAAGATGGTAGTATCTCTAATGCCACAAAACATCAAATCGAACTAAAGGGAATGCATGCTAGGAAAGTCACAACTGAGTACTATAAGACCAGAAATTTTCTAGTACTCAAACATCGTCAAAAAATGGAATGATGAATATGACTTAAACATCATGCTGTGAACCATACAACTTTTAAATCTGCTAACAAACATGTATAAGTATAACTTAGATACCAACCCTTAGTTAATGTTAAGCCAATTTATATGCGATATGTGAGGACAATAACTTTAATTAACTTAGGTAATTTATTAATTATGACTTTTGGAACTTAGCATTGATATTAATCTTTCTGACTAGTTTGATATTGAAAATTATAAATTTTTAATCTTTCCAAAAAAGGAGAGAGTGAGAGAAAGGATACTCACATCAATCAAAACATGTTTACAAGCACTATGGTCTGTATATATACGCTAAAAGACACCTTTTCTTTGACAAAATGTTCGATCATGCACCCACCAAGTACAAAAGTTGATAGATCTAGACAGTTTATACCATGATCCCAACCTCAGCTTTTACAAGAAAGAATAAACAAATGAAGATATCATAGCTAACAGAAATTACAAGAAAAAATAGGTAAAGTGTGTTGTGATAACCCTTAAAGCATGCCAACCCCAAACTTGTCTGCTGCTTTAAAAGACACTATACAATGTGCCTATGTTTCAAGAAGCACTACTGGGGCTTAACTTCCATGCTTGATAATTCCCTTTTGTTTGATCAAGGTAGAAACATAACCATAAATTTAAGCCCAATGAAATTGTCAAGGATCATTGCATCCTTGGAACAAGTGCAGTCATGACTCGTATGTCAAGCTAATCTGAGAATTTGAAATATTTTTCTACATCAAGATATGTTCTTAATAATGGTAATTATAGTTTGTTGAGTGTAACAGTCAATAGTCTTGTCTGGTCAGTTGCAAACAGCTACATGCCTAGTGAATTTACAGTCCAGCATTTAACAAGCATAGAAGCAATAGTTTCTCATTTCTCACTGGGACTTCTTGCAACCATTCCAGCCATCATCTGAGTTGAAAGTTTAAAAAATACCAACATTGGTTAAATGGAAAAAACCCCTATACACAAGGCTCGCTGACTTGCGAGGGTAAGGGTGAAGGTCGATCGTACACAACCTTTACCCCTACATATTTGCAAAGACACGGTTTCTCAAACTCAAACTCGTGACTTTTCAGTCACAAGAAGCAATTTTATCGCTGCTCCAAGAATCAACCTCACCAAAATTAGTTAAAGATTAAAGGAAAAACATGTCATGCCCTATATATCCTCTATTACACTTGGCCAGTTTTGTAAAGTGTTGATAACTGGATGAGCCAAACTCTGCATTCTAATACTAGATTAATACAGGAGTAAAAACTTAAAGAAATGCAATTTAGCCAAAGCAAGCTGACAACCCAAAGTGGAGAAATTTCATTAAATTTCATCATAAAATGAATACCATTTGGTAAGGCATAAGTCAATTGTAATATTTTTGACCATGTGAATTTCCCTTCAAAGAAGAATATGCTACCCACATGGAGGGGAAAGGAGCATCAGTGTCGGCTTTCTCATGCAGAGCAAATAGATTCTACTTCATGGGATATCAGATTATTGGTCTTCTGATATTGATTGCCAAGTCACATGCCATTCTGATTTTGTGTGATATATTTAGTTAGTTCTAAAATCCAAATGTTGATCATGAACAAAATATGTAATATCTACTTAAGGGTCTTATTGCATTAATTACTTCTAAAATCCACTTGAGCTCAATTCAGATGATAAGGAAGGGATTTGGTGAAGTAATGTAGAAAAAGGAAAAAATTGAGCTAGGTTTTGACTAGTTTTAAATAGTCATTCATTAACAAGACTTTCAATTTTCTGGATACAAAATGCCATCCAAGTAAGTGTTCAACTAGTTGATACAAAATGATATCCAAGTAAGTATTCAATACACTTGCCTTTCAATCTATTTACAGACAACAAACTTGAAGATCTAGCACTGTATCTCATGTCAGAAAAACATGCACAAACACAGAGTGATTTGTGCATGTTTTGTTTTTTAGTTAATAAGGATTCGTGCATGTCAGAAAAATAGCTATCTTAGGTGTCGATCTTTAGATGGTGTGATTTGTTTTCACTGCTTTTTTGTTTTTTAGTTATTAAGGAGGGCCAAGCTCAGAAAGAAAACCAAGAAACAAAATTAATACTCTCGTTTTTATATTTGATATGATATTAGATGTTTATGGCAGGGTAGCTTTGTAGAACTTTGTTATATTTTTAGGTTAAAAGGAAGGTGGATGGGTTATATTATATCAAGCAATAGCCCAATATAGTATATTGATAATTATTTATTTTAAAATACTAGGATGGTTTTTAATGGCGAGCATTGCTACGTAGAGTTGTCAAAATGAATTAATCCACCTTATTAAGCCCGAGCCCATGTGAGTTAGGGTGAAAAAGCTCGTGGGGCTAGAAATCCCATTAGAGGAGAGAGATTTTTCCCCTTTATGATATGCCAAGTAGCCTAGGAAGGTGCACTTAATGGATCTAAAATCCAGTTTATGAAGATTATAAGGATGCAAGAGCAGGAAATTGACACAGCCAAATACCTTCAACAAACTATAATTTGGGATTTATTGAACAAACGAAAAGGGAACATCATTATCATTGGATGCAGTAGCAAAAAATTGATTTAAGTAAACAGAAGTGAGGAATGCATGATCCTAGAAGGTAAATGGTAAGGATGCATGTGCTAGAAGTGTTATACCCACCTCTACAATATGCCTATGCTTACATTCTATAGTGCCATTTTGGTGATGAGTGTAAGGGAAAATTAGGCGGTGAACAATACCAAAGTCAGCTAGGGCCTTGGAAAATGGCCTAAACTCCCTACCTTAATCAGTTTGGATAGCCTTTATTTTCTTGGTAAGATAAAGCCAAGTGTATGGTGTGCGAGCATCAACGAACATAACCTAGTAGGAGTAGCCACCAGAAGAAACCATGGGTGCATGGCCCCAAAGATGACTAAAGATTCCGTGTACTGATTCAGTGTATGTAGATGAGGCAGAAGAAAGTAAGCAATGAGCTTTACCTAAACAGCGTGCAGAACAAAATCTGCAAGAGTTTTATTATTGAATGCTGCCTGAATGGTAGAATACTGAGTTCGAAAACAGGCTTAACAACCTTAGAAAGGGGAGTGGGATGCAGTTACAGTTAGAGGGGTGTGCAAAATAACCAAAAAATTGGGTCGAACTATGAACCGAACCGAACCGTCCCATAACATAACCGGTTTTTAAAAACAAGTTTATGAACCGAACCAGTTTTTAAAGAACCGGTTCATGAACCGAACCAGTTTTTAGAACCGGTTTAATAACCGAACCGTTTCCTAACCGAACCGAACCATTTTCAAGCCGAACCAAGTTAATTTTTATAACTTTATTTTTTAAATTTTAAATTTTTTTTATTTTCAAAAGAGGGTCGACCCGAACCGGTTTCGAACCAAACCGAACCACTTCCGAACCGAACCAGTTTTGAACCGAATCAAACCACTTTTGAACCAAATCATTTAAACCAATTCGGTTCGGTTTTTCAAAAAATCCGGTTCGGTTCGACCCATGGACATCCCTAGTTACAGTAGGTGTGTGATGATGAGAATGAGATACACTATGTACCCATTGGGTGTCCTAATCTACATTGGCAGGGTAACAAGACAGTTGTTATTACAGATATGATAATCTCACTGACTGTTACTACTTTCACTGAGAGTTACTTCTTGATGTACACATGTAGTTTAATGTCTGACACATCCCAACATATAACAATGTATTTCTATGCTTCTCAGTTCTCACACACAATATGAACTGCATGCTACCAATATGAATGCTTTCGGTGAAGTATTCGTCATTTGGTGGAATGTCTGAACAATGTATTTCTAGGACTGCCCTTTTGTAAAACCTTGTTTTGCTATTTTCTTGTATCTTTATTTTCCAGTGTATATTGCATTCCAAAAAAAAAAAAAAAAAAAGACAAAGAAATCCTTTATCACGTGCTGAAGATTATTCTAATTTGGTGAAAACATGTTTCTTTTGAAGAAATCCAAATCTTAAAAGCATAAAGGAGCTAATTTACAAGAAGGGATATGCGAAAATAGATAAGCGAAAAGTTCCTTTGACGGATAATAACATCATTGAGCAGGTAATATATTGTATTGTTGGATTCCTTGTTTTCCTTTGACTTTGCCGCTAAATTGCATTTGTAATTCTCCCATTTTGCCATGCAGGAGGAATTAGGAAAGTTTGGCATTGTATGCACAGAAGACATGGTGCATCAAATTGATAATGTTGGTCCGCACTTTAAGGAAGTTGTCAAATTTATGTGGCCCTTTGAACTCAACAAGCCAGCTGATGGATTAAAAGGATCAAAAACACTATACAAGGATGGTGGAGACACAGGGAGCCGTGAGGATCTCATCAATGAACTAATCAATAGAATGAATTAACTTATGCACTGTAGTATCAAAATTTTGATGTTGTCTGTTATGTACCTTAGATGATCTGGGTGCAAGAATCTCATTTTCAAGGCCTTTTGACTCTAGTGGAGTCTTTTTTAAAAACTATCACCGGAATAATTTCACTGTGAAAAGATATACCACAACAATGCATTACGACGCGGCATAGTGCAGATCATGTTGAGAAATGATAGTATATCTGCCGCGTTCTTTGCATGAATGGGGACCAATCACGGGTTGGTGGGGAGAATATTGCAGTCTGCTACCAACGCAGGGCAGTGCAACCTGAACGTGATCCATGCTCCACCGCGTCCCAGCAGTCAAAATATATGGTTTTAATATGTCATATGAACATAAGAATATATATGTTTGACGTAAAGGTACATAAAAACTAAATTTTATCCAATTAAATATAAAAAAGACATAATGTTTAATAATTTTAATACCAATTAAATATACAACAGTAATAAAGTTTAATAATAGTAATACCAATTAAATATACAACAGTAATAAAGTTTAATAATATTAATATAGCATATTTAACAAATTTAATAGATTAAATAATACTAATATTACAAGCTTTTTATGAAATTAAATATTAAATAGTAATAGTATAAATAATATCAAATTATAAAATCTAAATACACTAACCTAACTTTTAACGCTAACAAATATCGAAACTCAAAAAACAACATAAATAAGACCACTAACCTAATATATTTAATAATACATTTATATCATATTTAACTGCCATACCAATAATAATAACAGCTTACGCATTTACATTCAATCATAATAACATCTTATTTAATTAAATACAATCATAATCGTATTTTGTATAAGCTGGCCAGAAAACAAAAACAAAACCTGGAAAGAATCTTATTTAATTTAATTAAATACAATCACAATCATAATCTTATTTAACACCTAATATTTTGAAATAATATTTTTGTGGGTTATGGATATCCATATAATTATATTATTTATAACAGTGATAATAATTTTTTTTTAAGTTTTTGCAGAAAAAATTCAAATATTTAATATGATTTATGTTTCGTTAATGATAGTCTATAATTACTTGAATATTATAGTTATTCATAAAATAATATGATTATTACGAAAATATTCCAAATTTTCAAATGAATTTTTTACAATACATTTAATATTTTTGAATTTATATCGGTTGTGCCAGACCAATTGAAATTATTTGTGGTTTTAAATTATAACTAATTGAAGTATGATGTTTTCAACTGACCGAATCATTTCAATTATTTTTAAAATATGGGTTCATTCTTTTTTTCATATAAGTTACCTGCAGTAAAATCAATACGACATCATTTTGGGTGAAAATTATGATGTTTTTGTCATTTTAATTTTGTCTTTATATTTATAATTTTTTAATCTTTCAATCCCAAAACGACGTCGTTTTGAAAATAAATACAAATAATTTATGCGCAGTAATTTTTATTAAAATATTTTCCAAAATAAAAAAAAAGTTTTCAATTTGGTAATGAATTAAGATGAAGTTGGTGCCATGATGTAATTGCTTACATCACATTTCTACATGGAATTGAATAATATACTAGAATCCAAAAGGATACGAGAAAACAATGCTTGGCTGACTTTAGCCATGACACACGGGAACTCTAATATTGATTACGTTTCAACTTAGAAGGTCGTAGAACTTGGCCAGTAGCTTTCTGTCCATAAAAAAAATACAAAAAAAATAAAAAATCCGAGAAGATGCCGGGGCTAACAGCTCCAAAGATTTTTTTTATATTTACAGGGATTGGAAAACAAAATTTTACTTAAACTGAATCAACTGCCACTCGAATAAATTCTCTTTGTGCTGGGACGCGGTGCAGCAGGGATCACGTTCAGGTTGCACTGGTACGCGGCTCTCTTCCTACCGCTTCCAGTTGCATTTATTGCACTGCCCTGCGTTGGTAGCAGACTGCAATATTCTCCCCACCAACCCGTGATTGGTCCCCATTCATGCAAAGAACGCGGCAGATATACTATCATTTCTCAACATGATCTGCACTATGCCGCGTCGTAATGCATTGTTGTGGTATATCTTTTCACCGTGAAATTATTCCGGTGATAGTTTTTAAAAAAGACTCTACTAGAGTCAAAAGGCCCATTTTCAAAGATACCGATTTTTGTTATGGACAAACCGAAACATGTACTTGTCTTTAAGCCCTCATTTATCTTTAATTTTTGTTTTTGTTTTTTGGTTTTTTGTTCTTCGAGTTGTGCCTCATGTCTTTCGTGTCTATTGATTAAGCTACTTTAAGAAGATTATTTTCCGTTTTGCATTTTTAATGTCAAGAACGGTGTTTGGAGTCAGCAATGATGTTTTTCAAGGTGGACAGCAAAGTGTTAGTGATGATATGCCAATTATTAAGAAAGTCTGAGTATATTTAGATGTGTTGTAAAAAGGATTTTTATTTTATTTTTAAATCTAATTAAGCACTTTAACTCTGTTCTTATAATTAATTAGGAATCTTAATTTAAAAAAAATGTTTAAACTATTAATTAATTGGGATAAAAATTAGTTAAATGTTATCTTTTCAATAATTTTTATTGATAACTATATTTGAATAGAGTTGAGTGTTTTAATTGGTTATAACAAAAGTTTATCCCCTAAATTTAATGATGAAATTATGAAGAAAATTTGCGGTAGATAACTAAATAATTTCATCAAAGAATAAAATTAGGGGTGGTGAGTTGATAACAATGCTGACAGGTGAAGTGTGGTTATTCACTGGATAGCTTTCAAATACATGTGTTAACTTAAACAATTAACAATTAGAAAATAATTGTTTTTTAACTTCTCTTCTTTTTATATATAAAAATTTAGTCAAACATAATTTTATAAAAATTCTTATCATGAAATTATTATTTTTTTTTAATAATGAACATAAAAAATCTATATTTTAGAATATATGTATTAACAAAGAAGAGAATTAGGGGTAGAGAGCTGATAACAACGCTTACAAGTGATATGCATTTACTCACCGGATAGCTTTAAAATATATCTGTTAACTGGTAAGTGATTGTTTATTTTAAATTAACTGGTGATTCTAAATTTAAGTCTAGTTAAAAAATATAATAAAATAAATTATATACTACAATTTCGTGGTTGAGCTTTAATTAAATTTAAAAACAACTTGTCGTTGAATTAAAAAATTAGATAACACAATTGTTTATATAATTATTTTCGTACATTAAAAATTAAATCAATTTAAATAAATATACATTACTTATAAGTTAAATTTTTTTTTAATGAAGTGATATTTGCACACAAATATACAAGTGAAATATAAGCAAAATTTAAATCATTTTTCTATTTATACTTGAACAGTTAGTTTTATATAAAAAAATAGAACTCCTCACTTTTTATTATTTTCTTGAAAATGATATTTATTATTCGTTAATACTTACCATGGACATTTTTATTAATCAGTAATATTTTCAGAATAAGTAAAAAATTTAACGGTTTAATTTTTTCAGTACAAATTAGTTAAACAAGATTTTTTTATAGCCCTCTCAATTATTTTGTTGCTACAAATCAACCAATACTGAAATTTTAAATAAGTTTGCATAGCTTTTTTTTACTACATTTTTACACTTGTAACATTTTTTTAATTTTTGGTAGATTACACTTTAACATTATAAAAAATGTAAATAAATAATAGGCTACATCATATATATATATATATATATACATATATAAATGATGTACTCTTTTAACATTTTAAAAAATGTTAAGTGATATTTATAACTATAGAAGTGAAGTAGAGATTTTAAAAGATTAGATATAATTTTATAATTAATAATCATCTAATTGAAAACTTAATTAAAGTATAAAAAATTTAGAAACAAAAAATTTATAACGAAAAAACTAAAAGATACAGTTTCCTGGTTACATATTAAAGATACAGAGCACAAGATTAGAAAAAAAAAAGATTACATTTGTAACTATTGAAGTGAAGTAGAGATTTTAAAAGATTAGATTTGTAACTATTCGTAGGAAGCTGTCACTTTTCAGGCAATGGAAGCATCCCCCCATCATTTACTCAATTACTCTGTCCATATTTTTTTCAGTGTTTTTGTATTCTCTTTATGACTTTCCTTCCCCGTCCCCTCTCCTCTCATGTTTTCTGTCATGAACTCATACAAATAAAAAAAAAATTGAGATATAAATTAAAGGTCTAAACTTTAGGATCCAATGATTAAATCTTACTGCAGAAAGAAAAATAGAATCATTTGTAGTGAATTTAGAAATGGCTTTCAAATGATCAAAGTGTGAGACATGTAATGAGGGGTGTGGGTAGCAGGTAATAGGTGCGGTATTCGATTCCTAAGTGTGAGACATGTGATTCTTTAGCATAAGTTTTTCAGGTTTACTTATTAGTAAAAGTCCTTTAATTTTACATTTGTGCCCCTCACCTGTGAAATTCTTTTGGTCATGGCACTGGCACTGACTAGTTTGATATTGAAAATTATAAATTTTTAATCTTTCCAAAAAAGGAGAGAGGGAGAGAAAGGATACTCACATCAATCAAAACATGTTTACAAGCACCATGGTCTGTATATATACGCTAAAAGACACCTTTTCTTTGACAAAATGTTCGATCATGCACCCACCAAGTACAAAAGTCGATAGATCTAGACAACTATACCATGATCTCAACCTCAGCTTTAACAAGAAAGAATAAACAAATGAAGATATCATAGCTAACATAAATTACAAGAAAAAATAGGTAAAGTGTGTTGTGATAACCCTTAAAGCATGCCAACCCCAAACTTGACTGCTTCTTTAAAAGACACTATACAATGTGCCTATGTTTCAAGAAGCACTACTGGGGCTTAACTTCCATGCTAGATAATTCCCTTTTGTTTGATCAAGGTAGAAACATAACCATAAATTTAAGCCCAATGAAATTGTCAAGGATCATTGCATCCTTGGCCGTTCACAGTTATCTCTGTGGCCCCAAAGATCACTAAATATGAGGTGTACGGATTCAGTGTATGTA